ACTAGACCTCACTAAAAATGAGGTCAACACCTTCCTGTTTCCGATCACTTTTTCTGGCCAAGACTGTTGGCCTCTTTCTTTGGAGCATTCGTTGCTTTGTTGGAGCCGCCAGCGGAGGAAACAGTGGAAGCTTTGATAGAAGGTCTCATCTCACCTTTCTTTCTCGCCCTAGCATGTCGCGGTTCCCCTACACCAGAACGAGAAAAAATTGTGTTACGTAAGACGTACGCAGCGCTTCGTACGCCAGATAGGTTACAATAAGTGTATTGGGGGTTGTATCCACGTTATAGCCCCTGTAACCTTCCTGTAAACAACTTATAGCCTACAAATATATGAAAACAGAAGCGCAGAACTTTTAGAAGGTACAAGTAGGTTTTAGGTAGGTTACAGGGGGTATAACACGGATATAACCCCCCAATACCCTCCCTGTAACCTACTTGCGCACGCAAATTTTTCTCCACCAGAACAGCAGGGATAGTTGCCAAACTTAACAGATTCCTTCTATATGTAGTTTATTTTTATTTTTAATTTTAATTTGTATGAAATCTGCAGCATGTGTTTATCATTTCTGAAATGATAAAATGTGTTTACATTCTCTTATCTTTTGTCTTATCTTTTTTTGTGGCTTAATTGAACAAGAGTTTGGAACTTTGAGTGGGGTTATAATAGTAATTTAGTTTGGAAAGTAAAAAATAATAACCTAAAAAAGTCGGATGTATTCAAACATACACAGCTTATCTCACATGTCGTAGCTTTACAAAGGCGCTTTTTTCAAATATTGCTTTAAAAAGGACTCCTCTAAAAGGTAAAACTTTGTCAAACGACGCTTTAGTAAGAAGTAAAACTTAACTTTTTAGGTTTGGCAGTCAACCGGGATTATATCCTCGCAAGTTGCAATTTACTTTGGTTTTTCTCATGAACCAAGCACCTCCATGATCTCAATATTTATGGGATAGTAGTTATTTACTTTCTAAGGAGTAATTGGGTTGGTGATGTTTTATTGATTTGAATATTGGTTGTTAAAAAATTAATTAATATATAAATGAGGATTACTGCTATGAAAATGATAAGATGGATGTGTGAAATTTTGGAAGGATAAATTTAGAAATAACAATATTAGAGAAGAAGTTGAGTGACATTTACTAAAAGTAAGGTACCGAAAATAGATGTAAATGATTTGGACATGCATAACAAAGGGTAGATAGTGTTTCTGTTAGACAAATCCATAAAATATTGTCAAAATATGAGGAAAACTGAGTGGCCCTAATGTTACAGAGATATTAGTTACTCAAAATGTTTACGAAGGTCAGATTTACAATGCCCAAGAGGAACAAATGGAAACTGAGAAAACATAACATCAAACCCAATTAGCTGCTATAAAGCTAATGATGATGACGACGACGACGACTTAGGCTTTCATATAAAATCATGAGTAATGAGGTAGTGGTCGCATGTCCATGCTCACTATCTACATGTTTTACATGCTTTATCATGTGTTCTGGCTGGCATTCTTGAGAGTAGAATTAGAATGAATAACTGGAATTTGAGCTCTAAAACTTTAAAGATAAGCACAAGCACAACACTTGGTCACAAAAAAACAAGAAATTATGGATGCTATGTATTTTCAATTATTTTTCATTCCTTCCAAATCTCTTAATTTCAATCGATATGTTTAATATGTTTAGAGGTCACAATTATACATCACTACTGTGATGATCCAACATTTTGCATCATGTATTGTTGTGGATTATGCTAGAATTTTATTTAGCACTGAGGAAAAAAAGTAGAGAGCTGGGAGAAGAGCAGAGAAAAGTGTAGGGGTAAAGTCTATTATGAGCTAAATCGTATCGTAATTTTGGGCTAGATGGCACATCAATGCAAAATCACATAACCCTAGCTCACCCCCCGAGTCTCTATCTATAGGTTGGGATCGGGGTTTGAGTGATATAGGCAAATATACAGAATAAGCTATATGCATGAAAAAAGTATAAAGCAAGGCTGATCCGTTACTTGCATCAACTAAAAGAGGTGCGTAGCTTGAGAATTCTTACTGGTGCTTGACCGGCTAATCAAGAAGCAAAATATTCAGAATAAGCTATATACATGAAAAAGTATAGAGTAAGGCTGATCAGTTACTTGCATCAACTAAAAGAGGTGTGTAGCTTGAGAACTCTTACAGGTGCTTGACCGGCTAATCAAGAAGCAATTGGCGGTTTCTCTCACGGAAGCCGTCAGTTGCTCCTGGGCTTGGATGACTATGATTGACCTTAGTTTGTTCTGGCAGTTCACTATGAGTCTATCGAGTTTTCTATAAGCCTGGTAGTGGAGTCTTCCCTGAACCTGGCAGGCTGGGGGCCAGGTCCACTTTGAACTTTGCTGAGGTGTTGTCCTTGAACTTGACTGGCAATCCGGCCTTTTGAGCTTGGCGTGATGAGTCTACATTGAACTTGGGCTGTGAATTTGTCTTGTGCTTGGCCAACGAGTCCACCCTTAGGGAATTTAGGGTGTATGCAACCTTATGTACCTTTAGCTAGAAAGCCTCCTAAAATATAAATTTAGGAGTTTTGGAGCATTATGGTGGAGGCCAACTAGCTGATTTTGAGGTTAAAGGTAAGTTGTCATCTTATCAGTTCCATTTCAGGTAAACTAAAGGAATTCTTTTGTTTTGAGTAATTAGTCTATTGCTTTAATTATATGTTTCATAAATTGTAATTTGCTTTGTTGTTATTTTATGATTCATGTGTAATTTTATGTAACAGTATTTTAAAAGGAATTTTTGTCCTCAGTTATTCAGCTATTATTTTGTGTAATTTTATGTAGAAGTATTTTAAAAGGTATTTCTGTCACTCAGTTATTCAGCTATTATTTTAAGTAGCACTTTCATTTCATTTTGAACTCAGCTTTGATAATGAATCAAAATTCTTTTGCTCCAATTTTCAACTAAACTAGCATAAGTCTCTGTTTTGTCAGGCAGAGAATACCATGTACCAAGGCTATAAATCCCTTACAAAAATTGTCCATACAGAAATGTTTAATAGTGAATAACCAATTATTATAAAATGGCTACTTTGTTGTTAAATTTATGATTAAATTTTATCATCTTCTTGTATGATAAATAATGAATTTAGCAGTATGCATACTTCAGTTTTTGAATTAACCGTATCTGAACAACAGAACCTTCTTAAAAATTGTCGTCATATTGCTCTTACATGTAGAAACTACTGATTCTCTGCACTATCCAGGTTCCTTTCTTCTCCCAAATGGATGATCAACTCCTCGACGCCATATGCGAGCGTTTAGTTTCCTCCCTCAGTACCAAAGGCACCTACATCGTTCGGGAGGGCGACCCCGTGACCGAGATGCTCTTCGTAATCCGCGGAAGGCTCGAAAGCTCCACTACCAACGGTGGAAGGACGGGCTTCTTCAACTCCATAACATTGCGGCCTGGCGATTTCTGCGGCGAAGAGCTTCTTTCTTGGGCCCTCGTTCCAAAGTCGACGACCAACCTTCCCTCTTCCACGAGAACCGTCCGGACTCTCGTCGAAGTCGAGGTTTTGGCTCTGCGAGCGGAAGATCTGAAGTTCGTGGCAAATCAATTTCGAAGGCTCCATAGCAAGAAGCTGCAGCATACTTTCCGGTTCTATTCACATCACTGGCGGAACTGGGCGGCGTGCTTCATTCAAGCTGCCTGGCGACGGTACAAGAGGAGGAAGATGATGAAGAGTTTTAGCTTGAGCGAATCTTTCTCTTCACGGGCTGAAAGCCAAGCGAATCCGGAATCTGAGCAGGAGGAAGATGGCAGCCCGAGTGCAGCTGAATCGTCTCAACCTAAGCAGAGCATCAGGTCTATGATGCTGGCTTCAAAGTTTGCTGCTTATAGTAGGAAAGGTACTCATAAGAGCAAAGGTGTTGATATGCCTAAGTTGAAGAAGCCTGATGAGCCTGATTTTTCTGCTGATTCTTTTGACTAGTGGGTAAGTATATGCTGCTTTTAATCAGATGATTTCTCTCGACAGCTGAGGAATCTTTCAGTGTGGTTCTCATTTGTAATGTAATAATGATTGTAAGCATATATACAAATTTAGAATGTAATTTACATTTTGTGCAATCTTTGGCTATTATAGTAATATTGATATTCTGAAAGTCTGAGAAAGAGTCACAGTATAGTATATAGTATAATTTTATTCTTATTAGTCATAGCAGTTAAAGAAGATAATCATATTCTCTAAAATAAATTTTTACATGATTTAATTTCAATCAGTTCTATATATATATAGCCAAATAAAGAGATAAAGGTTACAGTAAGGATTAGAAGATAAAATTCATGCATACCACCTTAATCATGCATGAAAATGTGGTATTTTTCTAGTGATTTGAAAGATTTGGGTGGTATAAAGTAAAAAATAAAAATTTAAGCCTTTAATATATAAATACATAGGAATTGGGAGGCATGTATGTAAAACTGTAAAAAAAAAACCAAAAGGAATTGCTACGTGACATAATTAGTGGGTTATTGTCTGGATGAGGAAGCTATTTTTTTAAAGATCATTTGCAGAAAATCAAAGCAAGCAGGAGAAGGGCATTTGCCCATTATCAATGAGTGCACAATTGATCACAAATCATATTAAACATATTACAAATCTGCGTGATACAACAACTCTCCTCTATTGGTAATCGAGAGTTCACAGCTCCTATTGCTCTCAGGTTTAGAATGTAAATTGATTTCTATCCAGGCAAACAAATAACCAAATTTTTATTGCATTTATTAGCTGCAAAACTCAAAATACATCAACAAAAAAGGGGGAGGAAACTATTAAACTGCTGAGAAAGTTCAGTTTTTGTCCTTGTAATGAGCTTCTTCATCAGAAGTTAATTTCTTCGGAGCTCTCTTCTTCTGCTGGTATTTGGCATAAGAATACCACACGCCACCAATTGTATTGATGATCAATCCAGTGATATTGAGAGCATGAACCTCAACACCTCCCAACAAGAGAAAACCAAGTGTCTGTAGGGGAATAAAGCCATCAATTAGTTTGTGTATTCTTTTCTCATTTCTGGTATTTATTTATTTATTTTGGGGCATTTACATACATACCACATAATTCTTATGTAATTACAGAAAGAATTCCTAAACTTTTATATTTATATGTTTAATTATTTTTAAAACAGTAAAAATATTTAAAAATAGTTGAGTCTTTAAAAATAAGTTGATATGTTTTTAAAAATAAAAATAATAAAAACAATGTGTTAAATATATTAAACAAACACTTTTTCAAAACAAAAACAAAGATTAAAATAACATCTTAGCTTACCGTAGAGCCAACTCCTTTGAGAACTCCAACGATTGTTGTAGTTAGCGCAGAGTTTACAGTTGTGCAGAGGAACATTGTGAAGTTTAGAACAATGCCCATTACCAATGAAAGAATGAAGATTAGAAAGAATGAGAAGGAATGTGCCTGCAGCCAATAGAATTTCTATAATAATAATAATAATAGAAAATTTTGCGATCACACCACTTTATACTGAAAATTAATATATGCCAAATATTTCTGAGAATTGGGTCAAACATAGTTTAATGTTAATAAAAAAAAAACCTTTGCTTAATCCAAATCTGCAACAAATTGAGGATACTAAGACCTCGGAATTACTAGGTGAAGATAGATATAAATATCAAGAGAAATTAAACAATCCCCAACCTTTTGGTTGAGATAGACGTTCAAATTTCACCTAAGATAGAATCAGGAGGGAAATTTACATATGTAGAACAGTATGTCTCAGATTTAAACCTTCATATTTACATACATAGAAATTTGGCGCTTAAACTTATACATGAAATGATGTATTTCACTTTTAAAAAGTGATAATAGTGCTATTTTTAAAGTGATATTAAAGATTTGAGAGCTATATGTGCAAATATGAAAGTTTAGGTGAGAGATATGTAAATACGTAAAATTGTTTGCCACATAATATTTCAACAATAATAGCTTTCAAAAGAAGCATCAATATAATGGCTTTCAAAAGAAGCATATAAAAAAAAAAAAAGTTATAAGTTTTTTTTTTACTTTTCTAACCTTTTCAATCAGTAAAGCCAAAGAATGTGGGAATTCTGCAGTAGCTATAATTATAAACAGGAGAAAGGGAATCGATAGAATTGCATTATAGAGCATTATCTCAACTGATGAAAGCCCATCCTCTGCACTAGACTTCTCCACAAGCATCAGATACATGGTCTAAATCAAGCAATTAATAAATTTTTTTATCAGATTCCCATCAAATTTTTTATGTTTTAACGGGATCATAAGCAAAGGTGAGGGGTAAAACCTGGAAGAAAACAGAAGTAAGAGCCATGGTGTACCCAAAGAGGTCAAAAGAGAAGTCCCCCAATGCAGCAATGATGACCCCCAAAGCTGTGGTGAGAACGGAAAGAGAAACCTGAAAATTGCTTAAAACATTTAAAATCATCTGAAAATAAAAAGAAAAAGAAAGCAGAGATTACAGAAATGCATAGTTGCATTTACTCTGCAGGGTTTTTTGGAAAATAAATAAAAGTTTTTTAATTAGATGCAGCACTTTCGCAACAAACCACACATACAAAAGCAAAATTCTCTGCAACTGATTAAAATAAAGAAATAAGGAGAATGAATCATTATCTTCTTGATCAGCGCCTTCAACCTCATTTCCTTCTTCAACAGAGGTATTAAAAACAGGTTCATCCAGATGAACCATTAAGGCTGTTTCTGAGGTAGTATGGTCTTCAATATCATGAGAAGAAATATTTGGTAATGATGGTGGTGCTGCATATGAATATCCCGAGAAAGAGGCGTATTGATCCGTCAATACGTTGTCGTGTTGATAACGAGCGTGGGACTTGTAATCCCTCATTATCAAATGGTTTTAGATTCCAATCAAGACCTCGTAGGTCATCGATAGTTTGCTTAGCTCCTGGTAATGCCATTATACCATTGGATGCAAGATAGTCAGCTATACCATCTACGTGATAACGAAATCCAGCATGACTGGTGTTGGTGAGTCTTGCTACCAAGGCTCTGGTTATTAGGAGGTTAGATTCTCCAGCTTGCCAGTGTTCATAACCATGAGTGAGTATTACCAGCTCCACATGATTCAGAAAATCATGAATCGACGTCATTATGTCTGGTGTTATGTAGACTAATTGTGTACCATGCGTCAGATCCACTTCCATCGTGCCAATAATTGAAACATCAGAACGCCATATGGTGTCTCGTAATACTAGTAGAGCATTTGTTCCAGCATCCCGTCGATGGAGAGTGTGAAGTCGTATCATAATCAATCCCAAATGGATATGTTGAATTCCTTCTTCGAGCAACCTTTGATAAGACTGCTGCCTTATAAAAGGTAAATTAACCTGCGTGTTATCAGTAACTAACACGCGTTCCTCAGAATAATGCTGATATACACGATGATGTGTGGCAGACCATCCATCTTCGTATAAAGTCTCAGCTGGTACTAGGCTGGCCCTTTTGCTGCGGGACAGTTGTAGTTGTTGGTCGGGGTTGATATGTGTCTCCAACGTTCTATTGTATGATCTTCTTTTAGGGAGTCGTCGCTGCAGCTCATATGCAAGTCGAGACCTTAAGCGATAGTCCCGTATCTGGTCATCAAGATTTGAGAGAGTGTTGGTGGTGGTGTTATTTATTTTGACTGGCAGTAAAGTCTCAGTTCTAGATCTGAACGATGAACTCATTTTTGGTTGGATTTTTGTTGTTCAGCAAGAAAGACAGTTTTAGGATTTCGATAAACAAAGTACTGTCCTTTCAGACGTCGCACTATAGGTCCTTGGGGTAGTTCAGAGATTGTTAGATTTTGCAATTGTTTCTGAAGGCTTGTTACATAATTGTCTGAGATCTTAGTATTTTCCTTTCGGAGGTTTTTAACTTCCTCCTCAAGAGAAATAACTCTTTCAGATAATTTTAGAATCAACTGAATTAAGGTGTTGTTCTGTTTAACCAGAATACATAAGGCAGAGGGTGTGTTGATTCTAGCTTCAGCGGGGTTAACAAAACCAAGTGAAGGAGGTTCTAAGGAGTTTGTTGCAGATATAGCCGATTTATAGTCGGATGAGGCTGCAGAGAGCTGTCAATCACTCATACAAGATTATATATGAATTTCGAATAAAAGGCGGTACCTTGGAGTTGACCTTTCGGATTAATCACTTAGATTCATAAAATCGTCTGTCCTCAGTAATATGACATATAATCATAGAAGTATAATTTCTTATAGCGAATATTAGATAACTGTTACAAGGTTAACTAGTAACCAAAAACAAAACAGGTTCCTGAATGCTCCCCGCTTATTCCATCTTCTAATATTCTGGAAACAGATGGATGTATGGAAGGCTGGGGGGGGGGGGGGTGTGAAAGGGAA